CAAAAAGGGGCCACAACAAAAAAAAACACCCTGACCGGGAATATCAAGCCCTCAGTCCTAAACCCCAATGAATCTCCTATGGGAATGGTATTTAGTTGAGTGGCTTGTGGGTTGTGAGTGAGCCACTGCGCTCCGGCTGCCGTTTCCCAGCCGTTGAGGACTTAAGTTTTGCGGCTTAGGTTTTAAGGTTTGAGGATGTTGTTCCACGGTGACCAGCATTCCGGCCTGCAAGTATTGTAGGTCTTTTCACTCAGTTGGTCTTGCATGCTGTGTGGCTGCCATCCCAAGCCGGGGCAACGACCTTTGTCCTTAAGGTCACATGACATGCTTCAAGGCCGTGTGGAAACGGATGGCAGTGCGACGTCTGCAGTTCATATGTGCAAACATGAGTGCGTATTAAATCTATAAGCACTCACGGGAATAATGTAGGGCTGTGAGTAATTCGTAAGAGGTAGTCAGATACAAGTATTACTTTGATAGACCCCCAAAAAGACCCCAAACCCTAAACCCTCAACCCCCAAAAAGACCCCTAAAACCTAACTCCACCCAAAGCCTGTTCCATGTATTCAGCCTCCTGTGTCGACTACCCCCAAACCCAACAAACCCTAAACCCTAAACCCTAAACCCTAAACCCTAAACCCTAAACCCAAACCCCCAAACCCAACAAACCCAACAAACCCAACAAACCCTAAACCCTAAACCCTAAACCCTAAACCCCCAAACCCAACAAACCCTAAACCCTAAACCCTAAACCCTAAACCCCAAAACCCAACAAAGCCTAAACCCTAAACCCCAAAACCCAACAAACCCAACAAACCCAACAAACCCTAAACCCAACAAGCCCTAAACCCCCTAAACCCAAAACCCCAAAACCCAACAAATCCTAAACTCTAAACCCCAAAGCCCAACAAACCCTAAGCCCTCAACCCAAAACCCCAAAACCCAACAAACCCTAAACCCTAAACCCTAAACCCCCAAGCCCAACAAACCCTAAACCCTAAACCCTAAACCCCCAAACCCAACAAAGCCTAAACCCTAAACCCTAAACCCCAAAGCCCAACAAACCCTAAACCCTAAACCCCAAAACCCAACATACCCAACAAACCCAACAAACCCAGCAAACCCTAAACCCTAAACCCAACACACCCTAACCCCAAAACACAATAAATCTTAAACCCTAAACCCTAAACCCCAACGCCCAACAAACCCTAAACCCTCAACCCTAAACCCCAAAACCCAACAAACCCTAAACCCTCAACCCCAAACCCCAAAACCCAACAAACCCAACAAACCCTAAACCCTAAACCCCAAACCCTAAACCCCAGACCCTAAACCCTAAACCAACCCTAAACCCTAAACCCTAAACCCCAGAACCCAACAAACCTGGAAGCCGGCCCAGCCCAGCACCGAAAGCCCCGAAAGCCCTAAACCGAAGCCCTAAGCTCGAACCCCGAAGTTGAAGCTCTGAGCTCCAGGTTTTAGGGTTTAGGGTTTAGGGTTTAGGGTTTAGGGTCTAGGGTTTAGGGTTTAAATAGGGTCTAGGGTTGAGGGTCTAGGGTCTAGGGTCTAGGGTCTAGGGTTTAGGGTTTAGGGTTTAGGGTTTAGGGTTTGGGTTTAGGGTTTAAGGTTTAGGGTTTAGGGTTAAGCCTTTAAGCTCCAGGCCCCTAAATTTAAACCCTAAACCCCTAAACCCTAAAACCCTAACCCTGAACCCCGAACCCCAAGCCCTAAACCCTGAACTTCGGACCCCACCGGCG